CTCAATTCACTGCTCTTCTTGAACAAAATGTTCCCATGACTTGTCCCACATTCATCAAGCGGTTCTTGCTGAAGTTTACAGCAGGAATTAAACCTGTTTTGCCTTTTAGCACGTACGTTGGTTTAATGTTTAGTGACAATCCTTGTGTGTGCATGTGTGTCTGTGTAGTGTGAGTAAGTGGGGTGGGGGGGGGTGTTAATTTAATTTTAAGTACCTATAGTTTATCTCACTGTTGTCTCGTCCCCGTTCGCTCCGCCATGCTTCCATCATCAAGTGATCACTTGACCTGCACAAAGTCGTCCTCCTGGAAGCAACCATTCTATTACATAATTAATTATCTTTATTCCAGCATCACACCTTTTTATTAAAACCGCCACATACTTAATTTTTCTGAGGACATATACATATATATATATATATATATATATATATATTTGACCCATTTTTCATTTACGTGCTCACTGGCAAAGTTTTGTATATTTCAGTTTGCGTTCAGTACGGTACTATGTTCACTCGCATTGCAAACTCCTACATATCCGGGTACAATGAGGTGACCTACACTGCTGCCCCGTACTTGACCCCTCAAGGGTGTGGGTCGGCCTGTGTCAGCGCGACCTCGTTCACGTGCCTCTCTTTCGAGCTGGACTTCGTGACCAACAGGTGTAACCTTCAAAAGGTCACGTCCAGTCAGGTCAGCGTGACAGATTTCCTGCAGAGTGTTCTGTATAACTCGGACTACTACCAGCGACATTGCAGCTACGCGACTTAACGCTCTAACAACAAAGACTATCTATAGCGACATCGTAGTGCCGTAACCCACTGCTCTATACTTGAGACAGCCGCCAAGGACATTATAGCTACATGACCCATTGCTCTACAACTTAGACTGCTACCAAGCGACATTGTAGCTACGCTAACCTTATGATCTAAAACTCAGACTGCTACAAGGATATTATAGCTGTGTGACCTAAGGTTCAATATGTGAGGAATTCTTGTATTGTATGTCAATATATATGGTAGTATTATAATAATAAATATATTATATAAAATGATACCGTTATCTTCATTTTAAATTATTTAAGAAATGCTCCTACTGTTAAGGAATCAAAGACGTTTTAAAAGTGGAAGCCAGCCTCAAATGCCAGCCTCAAATGCCAGCCTCAAATGCCAGCCTCAAATGCCAGCCTCAAATGCCAGCCTCACGTGCCAGCCTCACATGCCAGCCTCAAATGTCAGCCTCAAATGTCAGCCTCAAATGGTGACACTATCATCAATAATTCAACCATCACAAGTCTTGTTAATATCGTCAGAAATGGTGTTACCATCAAAAACTGATAAACCTTCAGAAGTGTTAATACCACCAGAAAGGGGTGACACCATCATAAATGAAGACACCCAAATTGTGACTGCATTGATGAAGTTAAAGGCGTATAACCGGGGTGGGGGTGGGGGTGGCATTGCTTAAGGTTATTAAGCAATTCCTCCCATGCAAACGTGCTTTGGACAGATGAAATGATTATGATTATATAAAAATAAATTTAGCTACCGTCAATTGTAAATGTATATATAAAGAATTGACACGATTTTTTGTTGTTTTGTTTTTTTAAAAAAAAGGTTTTTATTAAACAATAATAAAACAATTTCTATTTCTTTGTGTGTGCCTTCAGAACGGTACTCTATAGTCAGTGGTGTCACTGAGTTGGCGTTTACCCAGTGCGGTAAGCTTAGGTTACATTACTCCTCCTTTTCAGACTCCACCCTCAACCCCCCCCCAACCCCCACCATGAATGAAACTGAGCCTGCCTGCTCTGGCGACACCCTGACCTTGTGGCAAAGTGTTACGGTGAAGCACGGCTCTGGCGAACGGCTCTGTCTGGTGCCGACCGGATGTGGTGATACCTTGCTCTGGTGGCCACCTAAATGTGGGGCTCTGTGACCTAATGGCTCTCTGATCGTGCGGTATTCTAATCGTATGGTACTCTGATCGTGTGGCACTCTGATCGTGTGGTACTCTGATCGTGTGGTACTCTGATCGTACGGTACTCTGATCACGTGGTACTCTGATCGTATGGTACTCTGATCGTGTGGTACTCTGATCGTACGGTACTCTGATCATGTGGTACTCTGATCGTATGGTACTCTGATCGTGTGGTACTCTGATCATATGGTACTCTGATCGTGTGGTACTCTGATCGTGTGGTACTCTGATCGAGTCGTACTCTGATCGTGTGGTACACTGATCGTGTGGTACTCTGATAATGTGGTACTCTGGTCGTGTGGTACTCTGATCGTGTCGTACTCTGATAAATGGGGTACTCTGATCGTGTGGTACTCTGATCATATGGTACTCTGATCGTGTGGTACTCTGATCGTGTCGTACTCTGATAAATGTGGTACTCTGATCGTGTCGTACTATGATAAATGTGGTACTCTGATCGTGTCGTACTCTGATAAATGTGGTACTCTGATCGTGTGGTACTCTGATCATATGATACTCTGATCATATGGTACTCCGATCGTGTGGTACACTGATCATATGGTACTCTGATCGTGTAGTACTCTGATAAATGTGGTACTCTGATAGTGTGGTACTCTGATCGTGTGGTACTCTGATCGTGTGACACTATTTTCGTATGACACTATGATCGTGTGACAATATGATCGTGTGGTACTCTGATCGTGTGGTACCCTGATCGTTTGGTACTATGATTGGGTGGTACTCTGATCGTATGGTACTCTGATCGTGTGACACTATGATCGTGTGGTACACTGATCTTGTGACACTATGATCGTGTGGTACACTGATCTTGTGACACTATGATCGTGTGACACTATGATCGTGTGACACTATGATCGTGTGACACTATGATCGTGTGGTACTCTGATCATGTGGTACACTGATCCTGTGGCACTACGTTCGTTTTGTACTCTGATCGTGTGGTACTATGATCGTGTGGTACTCTGATCGTGTGTTACACTGATCGTGTGGTACTCTGAGCGTGTAGTACTCTGATCGTGTGGTACTCAGATCGTGTGGTACATTGATCGTATGGTACTCTGATCATGTGGTACTATGATCGTGTAGTACTCTGATCATGTGGTACTCTGATCAAGTGGTACTCTGATCGTGTGGTACACTGATCGTGTGGTGCTCCGATCATGTGGTACTCTGATCGTGTGGTGCTATGATCGTGTAGTACTCTGATCATGTGGTACTCTGATCATGTGGTACTCTGATCGTGTGGTACACTGATCGTGTGGTACTATGATCATGTAGTACTCTGATCGTGTGGTACTATGATCATGTGGTACTCTGATCATGTGGTACACTGATCTTGTGACACTATGATCGTGTGACACTATGATCGTGTGACACTATGATCGTGTGGTACTCTGATCGTGTGGTACTCTGATCGTGTGGTACTCTGATCATGTGGTTCTCTGATCGTATGGTACTATGATCGTGTGGCACTATGATCTTGTGGCACTATGATCGTGTGGTACTCGCCTTATGTAATTAACTGAGTTCTCCTTGGAATCGGATTTGAGTGAAGATCGCCAACTTTGCTACGTCCCATTTGATGCGACCTCTGTGAGTGTCATCCGATGCGGTCCGTACACTTAAATAACTAGTGACAATTTGAATATGGCTCACATCATTTGACTGATCGATATTAGCATCTTCTGTTATTGGAATTTTTGATTTAGCGATGATTCCTTTTTCATTTGAAATTGCATTAGTTTAGTTTTGATTTTTTTTGATTTTTCTTTAAAAAGCAAATTCAAAGTTGCAGCAAAATCTTTGGAAATAGTACTTAGGCTATCGGTTTCAAAAGAACATTTCATTTCATTATTATGTTGTGCGCAAAGTGGACACGAAGCTCCAGAAATGCTAAGTGCAATCTCCACACTTCCAAACGTTTCAAGGGTGCTATTAGTTTACCTTCATAGGTGTCGGAAAAAAGGGGGGGGGGGGGTCTATACTGAGTCTATCCCAAGCTTGTGAACTGGAGTTCAATTCCCAACGAAATTCCAGACAACTGAAAACGACACCAGCGCCCCCAGTTGTATGGGAGCCGTTAGCCTTGGATGGGAACTCCTGTAAGAGAAGGCACAACTCTGAACACAAACCGCGGAGATGGAGTCCCGTTGTTGGTATGACACAATGATAAGTCCGACAATTCCCGCGACGTACCAAGATTGCAGACCTCAGTACCAAAATTGCAAACCTCAGTATACCAAGATTTCAAACCTCAGTACCAAGATTGCGGGCCTCAGTACCAAGATTGCAGGCCTCAGTACCAAGATTGCAGGCCTCAGTACCAAGATTGAAGGCCTCAGTACCAAAATTGCAAGCCTCAGTTTACCAAGATTTCAGACCTCAGTACCAAGATTGTGGGCCTCAGTGCCAAATTTGAGACCTCAGTACCAAGATTGCGGGCCTCAGTGTCAAAATTTCAGACCTCAGTACCAAGATTGTCGGCACGCGCTTGCCAAGTTTCCATGGGATATTTGACGTTTACGCAACCGATGTGCTTTGAGCTGAACAGATCCTTTTTCTGCAAGGAGCATTACGCATCATCACCATTTGGTGGATTCCTTGGGTAATACCTTTCTTTTTTTTAAATCTAAGAATATGAATAGCATTTGCTTATTAGAGAAGACAAACCCATCCTCAAATGTAGCATTACTGTTTCATGGGCCACAGCCCGGGGGGGGGGGGTTGTTTCCATACACAGAATGAATGTGAACCCACACCGTCTGATCATCTTTAAGACATACGCAGATGAAGATCATCCACACACAAGTCGTGCATTCGTGGTAAGTGCAGGGATGTCAAGCGTTTCAAGAGGGCGGCGGCGTTGACCCCGGAAGTTAATCATTGTGCCACCTGGGTCATAATGAAATTTTTTGTACACAAAAAAAAAAAATATTAAAAAAAATAACTGACGCCAACGACAATGGAATAAAACTCTTACTGATGTTATTTCTTATCTTTTCTTTATTATTTGTTTTAAAAAGATCACACTATACCCACGGGTGCTACAGCGCAGCTCTCTAGCCACGTCATCAATGCACTCCACCAGTACTTTCGTCGGAACTCGGTGGGGATCAGGCTCCTGGTAGATACTTGCAGTGTCTCTGGTAGTAGTCTGTGTCCGACGTCAGCAGTCTCAGGAAGTCCAGCAGGCTGACCAAGAATGGGGTGACGGACTGCAGGTAGCACTTGTTGAACGTGTAGTCCAGCTCGAAGGACAGGCAGACGAAGGACGTCGTGTTGACGCACGCCGACCCGCAGCCGGTGGGGGTCAGGTACTGGGCGGCGGACAGGGCGATCAGGTTGTTGCCGGAGATGTAGGAGTGGACGAACTTGGTGAACATGTCCCCGTACTGGACACACGCTGGAATAACGGAATGCCAGGCTTGATTTATAGATCAATGGGATCGGCTCTACGGTTGATACATGGGTTGATATGATTTTTGACAATGGTGGATATGATGTGATGGTAGCAGTGGTTGATGGGATGGTGTCAAATGGTTGATCTGATGGCGTCCGTGGCTGATGTGATGGTGTCAGTGGTTGGTGTGATGGTATCATTGGTTGATGTGATGGTGTCAGTGGTTGATGTGATGGCGTCCATGGTTGATGTGATGGTGTCAATGTTTGATGTCATGTTGTCATTGGTTGATGTGATGTTGTCATTGGTTGATGTGACGGCGTCAATAGTTGATGTGATGGTGTCAATGGTTGATGTGATGGCGTCAATGGTTGATGTGATGGCGTCATTGGTTGATGTAATGGTGTCATTGGTTGATGTAATGGTGTCAATGGTTGATGTGATGGTGTCATTGGTTGATGTGATGGCGTCCGTGGTTGAAATGAATGCTAAATCGTCTAGTGATGAAATTTCCATAGAGTCAGCTACGCTTTATTAATTTTTTTTTTTTAAAAGGCAGTTTTTGGGCCAAATCCTTTGTTTGTCCAAGCTGATGTGGAGCTTCGTGCCTAGTAGAATTTCACCAATGCCTAGTGTTACGGGAATGTCTCCTCTGGTTTACTTTCCTTTTCATTTACAAAGCCATGTTGTTTTCTTTTTTTTTAAATTTTTTTATATCATTTAAGTCTTAAATTTTTGCAACAGCATTGAAGAATAACAAAATTAAACGGGAAAACTAATCATTTTCTAGGAATATTTTTTTTTTCATAACAAAATTGTATTCCGACAAAAATATTGTTGCTGTTGACACAAAACTGATAGGGTTACTGTAACACAAAGCTGATATGGCTACTGTAACAAAAAGCTGATATATATGGTTACTGTAACACAAAGCTGATGTGGTTACTTTAACCCAAGGCTGATATGGTTACTGTAAACATAAAGCTGATATGGTTACTGTTAGTCTAACCTCCTCACCCCGAACGCAGCTCAGAGAGTTGGGTGAATAGCACCAGCCAGCGTCACACTGGCAAGTCAGATCTATGCACACGGTGTTGGCCAGGACACAGTTGGAGTTCTGGCTGCAGATCGTGCCAAAGGCGTTGGTGGCTGTTGCACAAACACAAAATAAATTAATTTCTAATATTTTATCTTAATAATTGAATGTAACTTCTTGTCGATCAACTGGCTTTAAAGTTTAAAAAATGAAAATTATTTACATGTATCTCTTTTAAATAAATAAATAAATAAATTTATAAATGGATGGATGGATGGATGGATGGATGGATGGATGGATGGATGGATGGATGGATGGATGGATGGATGGATGGATGGATTGATGGATGGATGGATGGATGGATGGATGGATGGATGGATGGATGGAGGGATGGAGGGAGAGAGAGAGAGAGAGAGAGAGAGAGAGAGAGGGGGGGGTAAAGATATAGATATAGATACAGATATAGATAGAGAAAGAGATATTTACTGGACCATCCTGTTTTGAGAAAAGCTCGATACAAACACAATTCTAGACAATTTTTTGAATGGTGTCATTTAAGTAATGTATATTTTAAGCAATTGACCATTACCATCCATCAAATTGACCCCTAGCTTAAACTTAAAAACGACTGCCTTCATCTTGATGGGTCATAAAGCACAACCCTACAAATAATATAAGATAGAACCCACTGTCTTATGACCTGAAACCCACTGACCTGACCTCTACATATGTCTTATGACATGTTACCCACAGAACTGACCTCTGCATGTGTCGTAGGACCTACCTATAGCCCAGTTAACTGACCCCTGCACGTGTCGTAGGACCTACCCATAGCCCAGTTAACTGACCTCTAAATGTCTTTTAAAACCTTTAACCCACCGAACTGACCTCTCCATGTGCCGTATGACCTTTAACCCACTGAACTGACCTCTGCACGTGCCGTATGACCTGTAACCCACCGAACTGACCTCTGCACGTGTCATATGACCCGTAACCTACCGAACTGACCTCTGCACGTATCGTATGACCTTTAACCCACTGAACTGACCTCCGCACGTGACGTATGACCTGCAACCCACTGAACTGACCTCTGCACGTGTCGTATGACCTGTAACCCACCGACGTCACCAGAGCGTTGTAGCGCGTGATCCTCGCCCCGTACAGCCGGCACGTCCGGCTCACTCTGTTGGTCATGAACGTCACGCAGCTCGCCTCCTGGTTGCACAGCTGGGCGCAGTCCAGTTTGCTGGCGGACGATCTCAGGCTCGTCTCCCGGAACAGCCAGTTGCCGGTGGTCTTGTTGTCAAGGTCAGGGTTGTGCCTGACGTTGCACGTCGCCATCTTGGCGCCCACCTCCACCGACGTGAAGCACACCGATGACGTCACTAGCAACACATAGCCGTTGAAATATGACGCCATTGGGAACACTGCATCTGCCAAACAAGCAGTTCTCTTTAACTTATCAGCAAGAATCTTTCACTTAAACATTTGAATTTTTTTTTTTATATTGCAACGCCCGTTAAAATGTTGGTTGATTTATTAAAACGTCTACACAATGAATTCATTCGAAAATACTCTCCGATTTCGATCGAAGTTTTAATTGTTTCTAACATCGATACTCGACTTTTTCAAGAATGACAATTGTTCTTAACTATCCAAATAGAAAGATGTGCAAGGTATTACCGATTTTGAAGACTGTTCCAATTCCATTCAGCATGAACTGTATCACTTGTGTTTTTAGACAAGCAGACGCGAAACAAAAAAATAAAGCTTCGATGATTTTAGCAAAGTCCAAAAAAAAAAAAAATTTGCTAACGCATAACTGTGTTTCAAAATATAAGCATTGAGCCCAACACGAAGATTGAGCACAACACGAAGTTTGAACACACCACGTAAAGCACGATGCGTAGGAATCCTGACCCACCCCCGTGAGGACCAATCAGGACACGACTTATCGCTTACGATACATCAAGATTGCAGGGCGCCGAGGCAGAAATCTCTGGAGATCTCCATTTTCAAAACAATGTCATGACGACTTCCGCTCCTTGTAAAAGTCCATTTGTCGCGGTGCTGTAAGAAAAACTGACTGTTGAATGTTCAAGGTCATGATTTCATGTAGAGCCTCATTATTTTTCCTCTTTATATTTCTGTTAGCACAGCTCTGTATAAGAACTTGTTGAGGAATGCCGCCAAGTCCCAATTATTGCAATTGTTCCGCGTTACAGTTACGTCATTATTTAATGTAGAGTTCATTAATTGTATTTTCCATGGACAAGGTAAAGATGTGACGTATCATTACAAAAATTATTTAAATTAAAACCACTCCACTCCACTCCACACATTTAATCTCGTTCATTCAATTGTTTGACCGGCGAGAGAAGTGGGGGTAGGGGTGTGTGGTGGTGGTGGTGGGGATCGCTTTCTGTCAATGTTAAATTCTGTTCAAGTGTCCACGACCGGCTTCTCAAACGACTCAAGTATTAAAAAAGATACTAACTTCTGTATTACTCAGAATTTGTATTATAAACTACGCTCACATCAAAAGGAAGTCGTTTTTTTAACCATAATTATAAGAAGATCTGACCGGGTATTTGACAAGTACAAAGTGAAAATCATTTGCTCGACGCAGCTATTGATTCAAGACAAAGGGGGGGGGGGGGGGGGAGTTTTTTTTACGACAAATTTACGCCAACGAAATGTTTTTACACGGTGTTATCTAATCAATCTCTTTGTTTGTCAACAATTGGTACGTAATCGAAATCAAAATACCTGGTGTCTTAAAAGATTCAACGGCACAACTCTTCGGAACGAACTCTGCACATCAGCGTTAGAAAAATATAAACATTCGAACACACAAACACACCATTATAACACACCAACACGTGTAGTTTAGCAATAAGGAAATAAAAGGGGGTGGGGTCTGGTCTAAAATAATCGCTGTTGAAATTAGCAAAATGAGGCTCTCCTGACGTCACTTCCTGTGGATACAATGGTACCTAATGGAATTCGTTTTTCTAAGCGACCCTAAAAAAAAACAACATACCAGCAAGACGTATGTATATTCATTTGCACCACGTTAATCCCCGATTGATTGGTATCGATTCCAAAGTCATTAGTCAGCCATCAATAGCCAATCACGGTCCCCCCCCCCCCAAAAAAAATTGTCCATTGTCCACGGTGAACAACATCACAGAACAGTTTTCTGACAGCTCCTGCCAAGTACTTGGTGTAGTCGACAACACGTCACGCATGGGGGAGGGGGGTGGGGGATTGCTTAATGATTTGCTAATGGTTAGAGCAATGGATGTATTGATGCAGTCTGTGGAATCGAAACTGGGCTGTTATCTTGGCTTCCATCAAATTTCAGTAATCGTAAAAATGGTCGAACGATTTTTATTTTTATTTTTTTTTGGGGTGGTAAAATTTTCGTACTCTTTTAATTTAGATCGCATTTCCCTTTCTAAATGGTATACAAGGCGGCATCATACCTGAGTTAGTTCAAACAAATGCTTGCATTCGCTACGTCCTGCGTAGCAACGTCGCCCTGTTTATTTTAAACTTTGTATAAAAATATTGTGTTGAGTAATTAAATGGCAGTAAGTCCAGGTTGGATTTTAAACAAAAACAAACAAAAAATTGATTTCTCTTTTACGTCAACAATAACTTACTGGTTGTGGCAATCGTTACGCTTTTTAAATTTCTTTTTTTTTTTTTAAATCATGTATATTAACTTTGCTTTTGCTTGTGGCTGGCTGGCAAGCAAGACCTTCGGACGACTATTTGACTTATTTCCCGTCAGCCAAACGAGCTGAAACTTGGCACCTAGACTCATTACCGATGACAACGTGTTCTTATCAAATGTTCAGCCCCACCCTCAACCCCCTCAAAATAAGTTTGACCTGGTTTTAAATGGGGGAAGGTGAAGGACATATGATGCGGGGTATTCGATAGTTTCATTTCATTCAGCACAAACACACGCCTCAGAATAAAGGTATTAACTTGATAACTAATTCACCTTCTTAGGTACATAGGTATCGGGGGGGGGGGGGGGGAAGGAAGTAAGGAAATAGGGTGTGTACATTTTTTACGTGGATGACAATATCTTTATATCCAGTGAAATTACAATCGTGAAAAATAGATGCTACCTTCTCATTTTTTTTTTGTTGTTGCAAATATGCATGCTTTACCAATTAAGATCAANATTCGATAGTTTCATTTCATTCAGCACAAACACACGCCTCAGAATAAAGGTATTAACTTGATAACTAATTCACCTTCTTAGGTACATAGGTATCGGGGGGGGGGGGGAGGTAGGAAGTTAGGAAATAGGGTGTGTACATTTTTTACGTGGATGACAATATCTTTATATCCAGTGAAATTACAATCGTGAAAAATAGATGCTACCTTCTCATTTTTTTTTTGTTGTTGCAAATATGCATGCTTTACCAATTAAGATCAACAATGGCGTTGACAAACTAGTGTACATTTACATAAGTATACCCGTGAATAGCAAAGCCAACCATTTTACAGACGTGAATGTAATCTTTAAAAAAAATTAAAGCAAGACGTATTTTAAATTAATCTGTACAGTTTATCGGCGTGACCAAGGATGCGTTAAGATTTTCTTTCAATAATGAAAATATATTTTTTTCTTTTTACTCTGCGAATGGGGAAAGCATGTGTGCATTTTTTATGAGATAAATAACATTTCTTTAAATAAGACACTCAAGGCTGTTACAGCACTGAAAAACGGATAAGAGATTCTTCTTTAAATAAAAGAATTCTCTATTTTACGATTTTCCGATAATATAATAGAAAACAAGGCTTGGGTTTGGTTAATTTTGTATTCAAGATATCGATACATTAAATTCCTTTAATATAAATATATTTATAATGGTGTATAAGTTTGTTGTAAATTTAAGATTATGTTTTCACAGTTTTTTGTTTTTTTTAGAAAACAATGTGTTGTTCAGGGGCACGAAGTGGGGTGGGGAAGGCCGAACATTTAACAATTTAAAAACAAAAGACATCTAAAGTATTTCTTAAGCGTAGACAATCAGCCTTCAATGAAGTCCTTTGGTGACAATCATGATTTAATTAGTGATCATTTTGATTTTGGTCATTTAAGGTCAAGTATAGAGGGCAAATGTGTGGTTTAGGGTCGCGAAAATGGGTAGGGTAGGGTAGGGTAGGGTAGGGTAGGGTAGGTTAGGGTAGGGTAGGGTAGGGTAGGGTGGGGTAGGGTAGGGTGGGGTTGGGTAGGGTAGGGTAGGGTAGGGTAGGGTAGGGTAGGGTTGGGTAGGGTAGGGTAGGGTAGGGTAGGGTAGGGTAGGCGTATCATATGTACAGCATACAAAAATTACTTCTTAAACTTTTAATGATGTTAGCAACGTAAACTTCATCAAATAGATACTTCTTTTTTTTTTAAATAAGGAATCGTGATGAGTTCTCGCAATAGCGGGTAGATATTAGTGCAACGTGCCTTTATTATCCCGATTAAATCGGTTCTTATATTCTAGTATTACTAGAGTTTAGGGGCGTGAAAAAAATGTGCGGTTTCGAGCATTGAAATAGGGGGTGGTTGGGGGGGGGGGCGCACGAATTGGGTTTCTTATAAAGTGCGTTTTTGAATGCATGTTGTGTCAAATTTTCAGCCACACCCCCGGCGCTCGATGTAGGGAAGGGGGTGGCGAATATTGCGCTTACAAAAGCGTGACGTCATTCGTAGATGGGCACTATTTCTGATGAGGGAGGTTACCAGCCACACTCAAATTTATAGAACGTCCGAAAAAAAAAATATGTTCAAAGGACTTTCCCGTAAAAGGCCGCAAATGCCTTAAGGATTTCTGTTTGAAAAAAATACCAGCTTGTCATAAAATCTTATTGCATTGACAGAAAAAAACTGGCGTTGTCACTAGATAGTATTGTGTTTCTTTGGTAGCTTGAAGCTTGTAGACACATAAGGAGAAATTACGCACCGTTGAGTATTTTAAAAAAATCAACTATAGCTACGTAAAGAACGTTTCAAATATGTTTAGATGAATAGTTTTAATACATTTTTATACTGCATACCTGCTTCCAAATATATATGTCATCTTTTAAGGTACCTTATATGAAGCACATAGCATCATTAAGATGTTCTAGAAGTGCAAGTCAGCGGAGATAATTGTACATTTTTAAAGTAAAGTTAAGCCTTAAGATTTAACTCCCCTCTTTCGC